ATGTATTCACCCAATTTCGTTTAAGATGATGAAGGACTGGTAGAAGAAGAATTTTCCCACAATCATATGAATTGAGCTGACGTTTCCATTCAATTTCACATAGCTTTGCTTTGCCAAATGTTGTTCTCATCCAGGGTGGACTGATGTGAAATGGAATGGAAACGTCAGCTTAACTCCTATCATTGTGGGAAAATTCTTCTTCTACCAGTCCTTCATCACATTAAACGAAATTGGGTGAACATATCTCATACTACTTATTTACTGGTAGTCACGAAAACAATACTTAATTCGAAAAATAAATATACATATACATATATACGTATATATGCATATTTATTTATATGCATACAATCTTTGGGAATCAAGGCTTAATATATTTCAAGAATTACTGGAAGTTTCGTAACCTACTTGTACCGAAAATGCTGAATCCATCCAAGACAAGCGTTAAAATCGCTGAGTAAAAGTCAGAGGCATCTGCAAGCTCGTCTGCCAAAAATGCAATGTAAGCGTGAGAAAGTATATACAATTATCAGATGCCCTAGTAACATAACAAAATGGGCTATTTGATAGCGGAATTGCAACCGGAGTACTTTCTTGGTTTGGCGTTTTGCGGATGTTCTCAAATAAGGCCTTCTGACTTTGTGTAAGCGAAGAAGAGTTGAGTTTCGAGGACTTTATTGTTTCATAATTGTTGAGCTGACTTTCATTTCGAATGAAAATGTTTGGTGAAGAGCTTCTAAGGTCGATTGCACCAGAAGACGACGGCGTATTCCTCTTGACCTGCTACCAATTGGCTTTTTTGGAACATGCAAATTGGCGCTGTTCTCGAGGTAGTCTCCTTTGATTCCAGTGAAAACATGCAAAGTTTTCGTCTGTCATTTGAAGATCAGCTTTTTAGGGATACATCGGTGCATTTTCTTGACTCAACGATGATACCTTGCTTTGATGATATTCGTCATATGACGGAAGAAAGCTTATCATGTTTTCATCGGAATCTAAGGAAACAGCGTCAATTTGAATGATCCAGCTGGTCAAGAGGAATCCGCCGTCGTCTTCTGATGGAAACGACCTTCGACTGTCTTCACCAAACACGTCCACTTGAAATGTAAATAAGCTCAACACTTCTGACTTTGGCGATGGTCTCATTGGGGAGGTCAGACTGGAGGTTGGCCAGGATGGTTCTGAGGGGTAGAATCCAATCGTCCCAATTAAATGGGATTTTTAATGGTGAGGCCAATTTTTGCATCTCTTACAACCAAATTGTCCTGCCAATGACAATTTCAATTGCAGAAAATATTGCGAACATCTTGAAAATCCCGTGTTTGGTCATCTATTGCCGACATAATTGTCAGAATCGGCAGACAACCAATCACCTCATTGTCTCGACACTTATACCGACAATTTGTGAATATAGCGCCTGATAATTAGTCGAAATGTTGTGTAGTCAGGCTTATTTGTAAAATAGAATATCTTAAATTAAAAAAACTGATGTACAATTGGGCTATCATCAAGAAGTGATCAGTCACGACTGTCCATTTATCTTGGAGTTGACATGAGTACGCCGAGATGCAGCCAACAAAAAATGCAACTTGTGTGAAAGTCTAAGCGTAGTGTGAACAGCTTGCACCGTCTATGCTGACGCAAGAGCAGGCTTCCGCTTCGCAATGTCGAAAAACAAGTATCTTGTGTGATCAGCTGTAGGTCAAATGTGATTGAGTAGATTTCATTGTAAGCATAAAATGATCAGTTTCCCGAAATCCCCTTAAACCGCAGACTGACTCGATTTGTTATGGAAAAACCAAAGTAGGAACGCACTGTGCGATCAAGGCATGCGGACAGCGACCTGATCTTTGCTATCATACTGGACATACCTTGAAAGCCTAGACGCATAGGAAAAAGAATAATTTCGAAATGGGGTTTAAGTAAGGAATAGACAGAACTTAAAGTTATTGGTCAATTTATGAAAGTTACCTGTGCTCCCAGATTATCAAACTCGACCTAAAGTTATATAAATATAATGATTTGGGGTAAATACCAGAAAGCAAACGATGGAATTAGAAACAACTATAATTTACATTACAATAAATAAATATAGTCATAAAGCAGTTAATATTATATTTATGTTTATATCAGTTATATAATTAATTTATATATTCATAATGACAATTACATACTAGTGTAAATAATATTGTAACATGAAAAATGATTAATTATTATAATAATAAAGCATATATTTATATATAATCTATAAATATATATGTGCATAATATAAATTAATAATAATCGCATTATCATTTAACTCTATAAATATGATTATTGTCTAAGTATTTAAAAATAATTATATTTGGATAAATATTAGGCATATATACATATGTATGAACATAATATTATATTATACACTCTTATTATATACATTATATGCATAATATTAATACAACTAAAATATATCCATATCTAAATATTATTAAAATTAGTAATACAATTATTTCATAATTATGCCACGAATAATTATAATTGTATATATGCATATAATCTATGTAAGTATACTTATAATTAAGTTTAACACAATTAACCAACGAATATATCACTTTATATTTATAGTCCCAGTTGCGAGCGTTGCGCGAAGAAAGGGATGAGTCTAGACGAGAGATTTAAAGGTACATTAGAGAATACATCTGAAAGTGAATACTGCCGGCGAAGTGTCATTTTCACTATGGTCTAGGGATATATTCGAACCAAGTGTCAAATGGAGAGATGGAGTAAGAGTAGCTTACGAGTAGTATCTTTCTAGCCTAAAAAAGCCTTATTTGAATTGGTCTTTCATCAGATGTTGTAGGCGCTAGAACATGCCCTGAGTTAGAGTCCAACTGAGGCGAGCCATTTGACCAAACCGGGCTCGGTTAGTAGCAGCATGAAGTCCTGAAAGTCGGCTTTCTTGGGGAAATTTTGCCCGGCCCACCGGCTGCACACACACACATACACATACACACACAGGCTTGTGAGTGGACTTACGATTCATTTTCAACTTCAACTCTGAACGTTGACGGGGATTTAACACGTCAATTCTGAGATGACTAGACTCTTTTAGGCGGCTTTCTGCTGCCTCACCCATCAACAACAGGTAAAGCATACAATACAAATGCACACACGTCTTAGCGTTTAATATGCGTGTAGGCGTGTGTGTGTGTGTGTATATATATGTGGAGCAGCAACTGCTCATTGTTTGGTCAAAAAAACCCTTCATACGAGGTTGCGGGTGGGACGAGTAAAGTTTGCCCAGCTAGAGGAGCAGGAGTAGGCGTGAGCAGGACAAACGAACGGACGGATGGACAGATGAACGGATGGACGGACGGCGTGACGTGACGACAGCGAGACCGTCTGGAGCCGAATGGGCGAGTCGGCCACGAAGATTGCGCCACTCGTACCGCATGATCCCTCGTCCGCTCACCGTCAGGGAGGCACGTATCTTTGATCCACCAATTAGTTGCCCACACACACACACACACAAACACACACACAGAGAACATGCAAAGGGTGAGGAAGAATCGGAGGTAACAAAGTGTAAATATTTTGGTATGGGCAGATAAGTGCGTTTATTCTATTGTCTTGATTTTCTTGTTTCTTCCTGCCATCCCCGGTCATGTAAATAGGCCTGTGCACACACACACACATACATACACATACAATGCATGATCATGAACACGCAAATGTCCATTCATTGTCTCTCTTTCGCTTTCTCATCCTCTCTCGACATCACAAGAGTCTTGTCGGCGAACAGGCGATTCAGAAGCAGACAAAAAGCTGCCTCTGACGCTCGGGCCAAGTCAGGCGTCATGCAGGACCGGAGAGAATGATTAATTGGATACCAGCAGTCATTTTGACGGCGAAAGTGAGCCTGTACCTTCATGGTCGTAATGGTGGTGGTGGTGGTGGTGGTGGTGAAGACAATAAGGGTTCTGGTGGTTACGCGGACAGTATGCGTGTGTATGTGTGTATGTGCGTGTGTGTGTGTGTGGATGTGTTAGTCGGGTGTAGTTGTAGAAATCGGCTGGCTGAGACGTCGGGGAGGCGAAGGAAGAAAGGATGGACAAACAACAGCCCATTGTGCTGGTGGTGGTGGTGGTGGTGGGGACGAACCAACTGGGCAAGGGCATGGGATGAACGCAGTGACTGACGAAAATGTTGTCAAGACGTCGTCCTATCGGATGGGGTAGAACATCGTCGAATGGCTACGGCCTCCGGCTGGATTACACCTTTTGGGTCCCGAAAATGCACATGTCGACGTGTCTGTGCGTATGAATGTTGGCTGTTGCTATTTTCGCCTCGGAAACTGTGCCTATTTGCGTGTGAAAAAGTGGAACCAACTTTTTTCGCCTGACCGGCCTTGCGTTGGTTGTGTCGCCAGTCTCGCCACACGCCAAACCCACTCCCAATCTTAGACCCCTTCGAAGCTGGTGAGACGGCGACAGGTTGCCTACAGCGCGCATCTTGGACCGCTATGACATGGCCTCGTGAAAAAGTCATCTTTTGTCCTTTCAGACGGTCTCCTGTGCTCGCTCAGACTGCCCGAATCCACAGTCTCTGAGACCACACATATCACCTTGGCAACAAGCTTCAGACTGACGCCTTCGAGACCGGTCGGAGGCAAGAGTCGGCAAAACAGTAGTCGCTGGCCAGAAACAGAACTGCCACCGACCGGACAAATGTCCATCAAATCAGGATGTGGATTATTATTATTATATTATTATTATTATTATATTATTATTATTATTATTATTATGTTTGTTGTTGTAACTTTATTTTATTTGAAAGTTCGAGTTCGGGGAATTTGCAAATAGGACGAGGAGTGAGATTGATCAGTTTAGACCAATCCCGGATGCATCGGTCATAAGCTTTCGTTTGTCCCGCGACAACATGTGCATCAACATGCTAGAAAGTGTGACTGCATGTACAGCTTAGGAGGCTCTTGACTCGTCTGCCAAGAAGTGTTAGGCTTGAATTACTCTCTTGGCTTGTACGAATTGAGCTCACATCCATTTCGATTGGATAGGAATATGCGTGCGTGTGTGTGAGAGAGTGTGATTGTGCGTGTGCCATATGTATATAGAGTTAGCCAGTGTGTTTTCTTGACTCATTAGCCTGACGGTGGTTGCAAAAATGATGTAAAACAAAGTTTGGTTACGAGGAAGTTCTCGGTCTGCAGTTGTTTAGCTCACTTTCGTTTCACGTGAACGTGTATGGGCGTAAGAAGAAGAAATCTGAAATTTGATTTCTTTTCTTCCCATCAGCATTACTGGACCACTCTGACTAAAGCTGTCCATGAGGCCTTGGATTCTGGTGAAAATGCTTATACCAGCACTTGATTATTATTGAGGCAGAAAGCGTGAATAAATTCTAAGACTTAAGATTACTTAATCTATCCATGAGTAGTATGTACTTCACCTCTAACGATGTTTGCTAAAAATGCATACGAAAGAAGCAAGACCGTGAGCCGAAATGTTATTCCACTATGTTATTCAACCCATTTCATTTGTATTCTTTCTTGTCTCTAATTAGCCAAAAGATAATAATATCAGCTTTATTGTGAAAATAAAGATGAACATTTGTTTACCGTTTTTGCATGGATAAGGACGTATATAAAAAGCAAACACATGATGGCTTTATGCTTAATTTCTTTACTGGACCACTCTGGCTAAAGCTGTCCATGAGGCCTTGAATTCTGGTGAAAATGCTTATACCATCACTTGATTATTATTGAGGCAGAAAGCGTGAATAAATTCTAAGACTTAAGATTACTTAATCTATCCATGAGTAGTATGTACTTCACTTCTAACTAGGGGTTTGCTGAAAATTGGAAATTCCATCGAAACGTAATGCCTACTCAAATGCATGTAGGAAAATTTAACTATTTTAATCGAAATTGGGTGAATCCATTTCATTTGTATTCTTTCTTGTCTCTAATTAGCCAAAAGATAATAATATCAGCTTTATTGTGAAAATAAAGATGAACATTTGTTTACCGTTTTTCCATCGATAAGCACGTATATAAAGTGCAAACACATGCTGGCTTTATGCTTAATTTCTTTACTGGACGATTCTGGCTAAAGCTGTCCATGAGGCCTTGGATTCTGGTGAAAATGCTTATACCAGCACTTTATTATTATTGAGGCAGAAAGCGTGAATAAATTCTAAGACTTAAGCTTACTTAATCTATCCATGAGTAGTATGTAATTCACATCTAACAATGGGTTTGCTGAAAATGTACACGAAAGAAGCAAGACTGTGAGCCGAAATGTTATTCCACTATTTGGATG